TGTGAGAATCACATGATCTCGATGACGCAACAATATCAATACGTGTAATGAAACTAATTCAAAGACAGTAGAGGGAATGGCATTCCCTTGGATAAACCAAAATGGGAAATTGGGATTAAAAGCAGGGTATTTTGGATACATTTCTGATAAAACTATTACTTCCAGAAATAAAGAAAAGAGCATCATCTAAGTAAGCCCTTTAATAGAAAGGAATACAAAATTCAACAATTTGGTTGATGATTGGAATGGGAAAAGTATTCCAATGTGATATTTCATTTATTTGATTAATTTCACACTGTTGCTTGCTTGAAAGTCTTAGTTTAAAGTTGTATATCATGTTGAAAGTATTTTTACACATTTAAAAATTGCTATATATAGAAGTGAAAAAAAAGGTTACTACTATTAAAAATATACAGGCTTTTATCAGTTTCATAAGATTGACCTATAATATTTCTCTGTTAAAAGTTTTTCAATTAATTTCCAATAGACAAGCAAAAAGCATTTCATTTTCACTGAGCAAATGACTTTCAGTACTACACATTATAATGTTTTTAGTTTGTTTTGATTTTAGTGGAAAAATACTCAAGGGCTATCCGCACTAGCCATCCCTAATCTAGTACTGATAGGCTAGAGGGAAGGTAGATAGTCAATACCACTATCTCTTTTATCAATGAATAGCGGTCAGTGATAGGAATTTGAATCCGTGATCCACAGATTACAAGACCAGCACCCTGATCACCAGGCCATGCCAGGCACTCTTTATAGTCTTTTAAGAATTGTTTTTCAATTGTTTATATCATAAATGTTCCCACGAAATATAAAATGCTTTAGTTATTCTGATTTAAACATGAAACATTTTTTGTTATTTGCATATGTAGGGAATGTTTAGATAAACTTTTAAAGAAGTAAAAAATTGAATTTAAACTTTTTAAGCAGCAAATACAATATATCCTGTTGATGATACACATTCAGTAAAAAAGAATAACCTTAGTTTTTATGTCATATATTAGAATATCTAGTAAATGTATAACTGGGGATCTTTTAATTGATGGGATTTCCAACATAAAATTATTTAATTGTCCAAAGGGCTAACAAGACATACAGCAAATATGTCAAACAAAAACATACACTGTTTGTTTCTGTTGTACTTTTACTATTAAGTTCAGAGAAGATAACTGTAGTTAAGGAAGTACATTGAATGTGTTTCTTTGGTTTATATACTAAAGAGAATATGAGAGAATGTAACAGTTCTGTTGCTCCATACAGATAGCTAAATCAGTGTATTAGTTTTTAGAAACAGTAACATTAAAGATTATCTTATGTAGAGCCACTAATTTATCATTTCATTAAGTTGGTTTTTAAGATTTTGTGTTTAGAGGTTAATAACTGGTGTCATTGTAAATTAGCCCAAAATGTGATATATTCTGGCTATTTGTTAGATTGGATAGTTACATGAAGTTATACAAAACTAAAGATTGCAGGGTTGCTTTACCCTGTATATAATTGTTGGTTTGTAGTTTCTCAGTTACCCGAGAATTATTCATTTCAGCAATGTGAATTTCCCAAACAGGTACAAGATCCAGTAAACCCTGAGAAGTCTGTATATGACACGTGGAAAGATTACCACAGTGATGGTATGAGTGATGAAAAAGAACCAACGTAAGAAGAAAAGCAATTTTTTTATTCAGTGTTTTACTTAAAATAATGTTCTATACTTACATATACTGAAGTAAATGTGTGTCAGAGTTCAGTGTTATCAAACACCTATTACACTATGTGTTTAGGTACTGTAAATGAACTGACTTTCATGTGCACATGTATCTAGTGTTGTTACATCGAATAGTACTGTTCTTTACAGCAAAAAACAATGGTGTTAAAGGGATGGGTGCAAGGCTGAGAAAATTCTTTTTCATCTGAGCCATTATGGGAAATGTTTTGAGATGCTTTTTGCTGTTTTGTGTATTATTTTGCAGTTATTTGTTGTTTACATAAATGTCTGGTGTTGGAAGAAAAATTGCAAAAACTTCTACATTCTTCCATCAATTCAACAAAATAAGTCAGCACTACTAAATTTTTCTCAATACAATGTATTAACAAACAAAAGTTATTTGATAACTCATAGAGCTTATTGCTGAGTGAATAAAATTGGGGCAGATTAAGGGTGAGATGAGCCTGGGGCTAAATATTTTCCAACTAAAGACTAAGGTAAAAAACAACAACAACTAAACCTCATAATAAGTCTGGGGTATAGCCCCCACCTTAATCTACCCCTGAGAATAATGACATTACAGTTATGAGAAACCACCATCAGCTGTAGTAACTGAGTTATGGCACACCTCAAAATCCTGGTACAAAGAAAAAAGTCAAATACTGTTTAAAAATATAAAATCTCTACTCACAGAGTTTATTATTAGACATCAGTTCCATTTCATCATTCGGGTCTGATGGTTAGGGCACTTGACTCGCAATCCCCGTCACCAAACATGCTAATTATACGTAGTTACCATTTAGGCTGGCCACCAAGGTGTAAAACTTCTTGGCTTAAAAAAATGATCAGTTGACCCCAAGGTAGGATGGATTAAGGTCATTATGGGGAAGAAGTAGCTCCATTTCATTTAATATAATGACATGAACAGTCTGCTGACAGAAGTCAAGGCATGAGACCTTTATGACTTTGATCATATGTGAAAATTCTGATGCATTCTTGCAAATTTAAAATTATGTAATAAGTTGTATCTTAACTGTCCATATTAACAATTTTCACTACTTATTTAATTACCAAGAGGAATATTCAAGTTAAATTGAATGGAATATTTGTGAAATTTTGAAGGAAGAATATGAAAAAAGTGAAAAATATAAAAGCAGCTTAGACACATTCTACTATAATTTGGTTTATTATCCTGTCTTTCTTTGTAACAACTGTTACTCGGATATCATTCTCTTAATAGAATGAAATCCAATATATATTACATCTGGTAAATATACTAAACAGATACATTGAATCTGTTCTCCAACCCTAATTTCATCATAAATTCAGTATTTCTTCTTGTAAGAGATTCTGTGATTACACCAAAGCCATTCACTTTTTGAAAATGCAGATATTGGATCAGGTACTCTACTAAAATACTAATAAGTTTGTTTTTTACCCCACTGAATTCTTGGCACTAATTATTATTAACTTAACTGTATGATGTAAAATGTGGTGATGATGCTGATCTTATGATACACATCATATTTATATCTCTTTCTTCCTCCAGGGTTCCTACTTTAGGCTCTGGCTCTGATCATGCACCTTTTGCTTTTTATGCTGGTATACCGAGCATCGATACCTCGTGGATTGTGGATAAGGTATGTGTAAACCTTGGTTGGTAATGGATGGATAAAGCAGATCTAATACAAGATGGTGTGTGTGTGTGTGTGTGTGTGAATAAGGTATGTCTAAACCTTGGTTGGAAATGGATGGATAAAGCAGATCTAATACAAGGTGGTGTGTGTGTGTGTGTGTGAATAAGGTATGTCTATACCTTATGGTAATGCATGGATAAAGCAGATCTAATACAAGATGGTGTGTGTGTGTGAATAAGGTATGTCTAAACCTTGGTTGGAAATGGATGGATAAAGCAGATCTAATGCCTAAACCTTGGTTGGTAATGCATGGTTGTATTAGATCTACTTTATCTACTTTATCCATCCATTATCATTCAAGATATAGACATATCTTATTCACACACACATACCACCTTGTATTAGATCTATTTTATCCATATATTACCAACCAAGGTTCACACATACCTTATTCACACACACACCACTTTGTATTAGATCTGCTTTATCCATCCATTACCAACCAAGTTCAGACACACCTTATTCACACACATACACACCACCTTGTATTAGATCTACTTTATCCATACATTACTAACCAAGGCTTAGACACACCTTATTCACACACACACACACCAACTTGTATTAGATCTACTTTATCCATACATTACTAACCAAGGTTTAGGCATACCTTATTCACACCACACACACACACCACCAATAAGGTATGTCTGAACCTCGGTAGGTAATGCATGGATAAAGCAGATCTAATACAAGGTAGTGTGTGTGTGTGTGGGAATAAGGTATGCCTAAACCTTGGTTGGTAATGGATGGATAAAGTAGATCTAATACAAGGTGGTGTGTGTGAATGAACCTTGGTTGGTAATGCATGGACAAAGCAAATCTAATACAAGGTAGTGTGTGTGTGTGTGGTGGGAATAAGGTA